GGTTTCATGCAGACTTTGTCTTGCACGGAGACAGCGGAGCTGGAGGCACAGAGGGAGGGGTGCAAGACTGGCAGGGAGCTGGTAATGAGAAACAGGGACTCGTGCCTCCCCCAAGTACATGTGCCTCCCTCCCTGCCAGCCCCTATCTGCCCCATCTCCCTGCCAGAAAGCTCTGCCCAGCAGTGCAGACGCAGGAAGCCGCGACTGCTGCTCACCCCCTCCGCATACCATTCTGCTTCTTCAATACCATTAAGTGTCTCCATACTGTCTGGACACTGGAAACCTTAACCAAATTAGCCGGGACCCGAGCAGCAGCACGAGCATTCAATTCTTTTAAGTGGCACCACTTCCTCAGCTGGTTACACACAGGCAGATCCCTGCCCGATGCCAGCACAGGGAGGAGGGCTGGTCGAGGTCTCCCACTGCTCAACGCAGGAGGGAAATTCCCAAAACGAGCTGCACCACGGGGACAGCATTGTCAATGAAAGGCTTCAAGCAAAGCATGTCTACTTCCTCCTCTTTTCCCTCCAGCCCATCTGCCCCCATGCTCCACCAGGCATTTTGCTGCGCTGGAGGTGCTTCTCCAGCCACCTGTGACTGCTAACATATGTGCCAGCAGCATGAGATCAGCCCCTCACTGCTCCCACAGGTGACATCAATCTGTCCCCATCCTGGCTCACACAGACCTGTGCCTGCACTCCTTTCCCTGGCACCAGCACAGCCCCTCAGCTCAGGGGGTTCCAGCAGCAGCACCCCATCACTATGGCAGCTCTGAGGCTTGTTGGCTAGCCAGCCCAGCTTCACAGCCATACCCAGGGCTTAGAAAGGCACAGGTAGCATATTTTGGAGGCAGTGCCCTCCTGCACTGAGCACAGGCTGCCCTGGAGGATGCTCACCCCCCACCCCAGCCCCGGTGTGCATAGAGAAACCTCCTGGAGAAAAGCACATTTCTCCCTGCAGTAACAAAGCTCGCTCCTGGCACAGCGACGTCCCAAACCCCACTGCTGCCGTGGGGAGCAGGGGATCCCAGCACAGCCTTCCAGCCGCCAGCCCCGCGCAGCGCTGCCTGCCTGTGCTATAGTTAATCTTCTGTTGCCACTAGCTGGTCAACACGGGTACTCTTGGAAAGCAGCAATTCCCCGAGTACAGCTTCCAATACAGCTACAGATTCCAGTTTGAGCTGGGAATTTCTCTCCTGGAGACAAAACCAAATTCATGCAAGCCCACCTGACCGTGTTGGACGCGCCACGTCTGACTCTGCTTTGGGGTCAGCGCTCAGGGCTGACCCACCCCCATGAACACCTCTGTGCCCACAGCCCTCTGGGTGCTACAGGGCTCACTCCCCTGCATCCACTGTGGAGGGACCTTGAGCCCAGAACCCCCTCCCAGAGCTCACAGGGAGAAATGCAACCGCAGCATTCAGTAGTGCTGCAGTGCCACTGCCCTCCCCAGGTTGTCCCCATCCATGCAGATCTGACCTAAACCTCAGGTATTGCAATATAAGAGAAATAAAAAATAGCACTTGATTGACCAAACCTCTGCCCAGCAGGCTGAGCACCTGGAGGACCTGCCCTCCTTTAGAGCAGCACCAAGAAGCTCCATTCCCAGCAGGGTTCAAGGCAGCCCTCAGTCTCCCCACCTGCTCCACAAAACCCACAGCTGTTGACAAAAGCAAAGAGCACCAAAACCCTGCTCACGTCTGCTCAAAAGAAAGAAAAAAAAAAAAGCAGTAAATTCAAACAATCAACAAGGAACTAAGTGCTTTCCATTATTGTAATGCATTCTTATCCTGGAGAAAAAGAGAAGTTCCAAGATGGCTTCAAGAAAAGTTCAGAGAGAAAAGAGAAGTGCTGGAGGAGCTGCGTGGCTCCAGGACGGAGATACCTGCACTGGGCTGGATGCAGGTGATGCACAGCACCACTCCAATAGCCCCAGCACTGCAGGCAGGGCACGCTGCACCACCAAAGCCATGTAAGTAAACCATCCTTACGTAAGCCACTATCGGCTAAGAGCAGCAAACGTCTGCCTGCCTGCCTCTTCCTCCCTCTGTATCTGTGTGCACATTTTGCTCATCCAGACGAGGCACGGAAGCAAACTGCTCCGCTCCCAAATTGCACTTCAGGCAGAGTGCTGCTATTGTGTGGTGCACGGCACGGACTGCAGCACAGCACACACCTCACACAGCCTGGCCGTGCAGGAACAAAGTCAATGGCACGCTGCGCCATTCGCAGTGTAACACCAGAAGAATGAGAGGTGGGGGGGAAAAAAATAATAATACTGCAAAGCATCGGTTGTACCCAAGGTTAAGGAAAGGGCAGGAGGCTGTTTCAGGAAAGGGGATGCGCAGCAATTCATAATGCGCTGGTGGCGAAGTTACATTTGTCATCTCCTGCCATCACCGCGCTTTGCTGTCTGATTTTCAAGTAATACAAGCATGGGGAAAAGGGAGAACCATCCTTTGTGCATCCACAGAGGGAACACATGGCTCAGAGCTGGAGAGAAGGGCCCCAAGTGCTGCCTGCAGGCACTGCTGCCACAGGCAGAAGCAACGCGAGGAGGGAGCAAAGTTTGGGGCCCCACCGGACCCCCAACACCCCTTAACAGGGACAGCCCCAGCACAAAGCCACCTCCCAACCAGCAGGGCTCCTGGCTGTGCTTTGCAGCACCCACCGGCTCCAAGCAGCCATTCCCTCCACCCATCAGCCTGCAAATCCAGCTGAAGTTTTGCACAGCTGCAGACGAGGCTCTGGCTGCAGACCCCCATCCTCCAGCAGGGGCTCAGGACCCAAGAGGACAGGACACCTCCTGCAGCCACAGCGCTCAAACCAACCCATACCCACGTCAGGGCAAGGCTTTAATGCCTGGAAGAGCTTTGGTCCCAGGATGGAGCAGGGCAGTGTGTGGCAGCAGCACTTGGCAGGGACAGCGAGGGCATCACCCAGCAGCCGCCATGCTGCACATGAGCAGGATCACATTATTATCCCAAATAATTTCACTTCTTCTGAGACCACAATGCCAGCACTGGGTTTTAAGAGAGCTCCTCACCACAGCTTCACCCACTGAGCTGCCAGCAGCCTGTGCTCATGCCTGGGCTCAGAGGCACTGAGGAGCCTCTGTGAGGCTGGAAAGCAGTGGGACTTCAGCCCTTACACATCTCCCTCTGTTCCAGCCTAACCACCCAGCAAACACATCCAGCAACACACAACAAACGTCAGAAATTTACCATCAATGGGGACTACCGAAGAATTCGGCACAGGGAAGCATTTAAAGCAATCCCAGCTTAGCGACTGCACTGATCTCCCACCAGCAGCACAATTCTCACCTCCAAGAGCCCCCTTTGAGGCGGCAGCAGCTCTCCAGTCAGTCCCCAACCTCCGCTCAGTTTAGGAGCAGCAGGAAAAAAGCACAAAACTTCACTGCCAGCAGTGGAACAGCAAAGCACTGACCCATAGCTCAGCTCAGTTGCCACACCAGGAGATGGGAAGAAACACAACAGATTTGAGATACCAGAGCACCCACCACAATCCATGAGACAGATTGTGGGGAAGGAAGAGGGCTTTCCCTTCTCAGGATGGCATCCCACTGAGTGCTTTAGGCCTACAGCAGCCACCCCAGTGCCCCATTTAGCTGCACTACACCTGCACGGCGGGGGTCTCACATCCGCAAAGTGACAGCGACAGAAACACAGCTTTGCAAGAAACGTGCCCTGTACTCCAGAAAACACACATAACCAACACCCTGAGCAAGGAGAAGGGATTTCTCAGACCAAGCCGTGGTCTCTCTACCAGCAGTCAGTCACAGCAATAGGATTTGCAAGACAAGATCACGTCTCGGATCTATCAAGACACATTTCTCTCCTCCAACTTGAGCTGTAACCTACACTGCACGCAGAGGGGTTTCTCTGCCTTCTGATATATTTAGATCAGTGCCCAATTCACCCTCAGTCCCTGAAGAAACCATGCTCTAATCGGGAAATTCAAGGCAGCGAACCACAAAACTTGTTGTTACTTTTAATCATTGTAAGGCAAATGTCATTCCAACTGCATCCAGCCTTGGATTCCCACTTCTATTACTTGAAATAGAGCAGCTGGGTTGTGGGGGATTTCGGCAGTTGCGCTGAAGGGAGGCACATGGCAAAGGCAGGATGGAAAAGGCTCAGTTTGAGAAGTGTCACCAACTTATTTATTGCAGGGATTTGCCATGAGGCTTCCCAGGAGGGGGGGTGGAGGGAGCGGGAGGCACAGCCGGCTGATCTCCCACTGCACCTGGAGGACAGCAGTCACTGCACGAGGGGACACGGTGCTCGGTGCCCACACAGAGCAGCTCTGGGCACCCACTGCACGCAGCCCAGCTGCGCCGAGCGGCAGCTCGGACACAAAGTTCAGCAGGGATTACCTTATGTACAGACACCAAAATGCAAGAAAGCCGGTGGCTAAAGAGATCAGCAGAAGCCGTCGGCGCTCTGGCACAGCGCACAGCCAGCACTCCACGCAGAATTCTGAGCAGCTCGCTCGGGCTGAGCGGCGCTGCTTATGGCACACAAAGGGCTGAAAGGGACCGGACGAAGCCCGGGGCACCCCGACCCCGGGCACCGACACCCAAAGCACGGCCACACGGCTATTTGTAGCGCAATCCCCCTCCCCACAAAGGCGAAAACAGAGAGAAAGTCCGCAGGCGTTCCGCAACAGAGCCTATCACGGGAGTTGGGCACGAAGCAAGAACGAGCTGAAGAGCACCGAGACGAAGCGTTCAGAAATGCGGGCTGCCGAGAAAAGAGACCCGGCGCCGCGGTGCCTCCCCCGGGGCTGAGCCCGGCACCGGGCACGGAGCGCTGACTCGCAGGTTAGCACGGGCCCCGCTGAAATCCCTCCCCGATAGAAAATAACAGCGATATTTCTGTAAGAACGGAGAGAGAACGGAAAGCCGCGAAGCAACGCCGGGTGCCGTTGCGGGCTGCGGGCGCTGCGGGCAGAGCCGGGCCGGGAGCGGCCGCCGCTTACCGAGGGTGAAGAAGGGCAGCTCGGTGTTATCCAGATCGTCCTGCACGGCGACGCGGCCGGGCAGCTCGCTGCGGACGAAGAGCAGCAGACGGGAATCGGCGGCGGCGGGCGGCGGGGCTCCGCTCCAGCTGATGTCGTTTTCGCGGAGCACCGGCAGCGTGGACACGGTGACCGTCTTCACGCGGCACGGACCGGGGGGTTCCCGCGACGCCGCCGCCGCCACCGCCGCCGCGCCGGGCCCGCCGCCCAGCAGCACCGCCAGCACCAGCAGCGCCGGAGGAACCGGCGGCGGGGCCGGAGACGCGGAGCGGCGGCGCGGCGGAGCGGCCATGCCGGGCCGGGCGCGGGAGAACCGCGGCGAAGCGACGCGAGGCGAAGCGGGGAGACGCGAGCGGCGCCGGGCGCACTGAGCCGCCCCAGCCCGCCGCCGCCGCCGCCGCCCGGCTCCGCCCCCGGCTCCGCCCCCACCCCGCCCCGGCCCCGTTCGGATCCAGGCCCGGCGCCCCCCGGTCCCGCTCGCCCGCCGCAGGGCCGCCCCGTTTCGCAGCGGGCTCCGTTCTCGCCGTCGGCTTTCCCTCGCCTTAAGGTTAACTCGGGCCCCGGTTCGCTCGCTACCTGTAGCAGCCTGCAGGTGGGATCCCGGGCAGCCCGAGCGAGTGCTTGGCGACCGTCCCCACGGCGGGGCGATCTGTGAGGCCCCCCGAGCCCCTCTGCGATCCTGTGGTTCTCCCTAGCGCTGTGCCGCCCCGTCGTGCCCCTCCTGCCATCCCGCTCCACCACTTCATCCTCTCCGTTCTCCCCGTGCCATCGCATCTCTCTCCCATCCCCACCGCCCTTTGCAGACCATCCTTTTCCTACTTATCCAGCTTTTCCTTTCCATGTCTGCTCACTTTCTGGCGGTGGGATGTAGCTGATTGCTGCACGTACCCACGGGCTTATCCTTCCCTATAGGCTCAGCCTGGCTGCAGTAGCACAGAAGCTCCCTGCGAGCTTTTACTCGTTATTAGCTGGTTCCAGGTGAACAGCCATCTGCAGGTCCCGTAGCACACGGAGATGGCTCTCAGCACTGAGCCTGGAGCAGCCACACCGCTGACTTATAGCAGATTTTTGACCTGGTCTTTAACAGCCGGCACTTAAATGGGAGCCAGAGGCCAAAATGCTGCTGAGGTCTGATCACAGATGCCCGTATCCATCCATCACACATGTGCCCTGATACCATCCGAGGGCTGAATGTGTGTTTACACCAACCAGACGAGCTCCACAGATGTGTGGTTTTGGCTCATGCTCTGCCTTGAGGCACGGCAGAGCCAAGAGGGATGGGAGGTTGGAATTGCAGGGGGGGATGCTGGAACCACAGGGGTCAGCTGAGAGGCAAACCTCAGGCAATTCAATGGGGCTGAGCCCTGCCCCAACACCACGAGCTGCCCACGGGTGACTAACAGCAGTGGGGACAGGCAGCCCACAGCAGTTGTGAGCCAGTGACTCACAACAACAATTTCCGAGTGACTGCTAATCTACCTGATTTTATTTGTAGATGTACAGATAAAAGAACATGTCAAAACCCTAACAAAGCGCGCTTAATGCTCAGGCTTATATTATTTCCACAAGCTAATTAAGATCAATTCATCATACGCCTATTGAGGCAAAACAGCCTTCCGAGATACCCAGGTCACTGAATGTTAAAACCACAACAAGGGCAGAATGGCAGAGACAAAATGCAGCAAACAAACAGTGGGAGCCGTGCCCTGTTCCAGCTCACAGCCCAACAACCACAGCCCCCGTGGAGAGCATCCACATGTGCACAGGGAGTGCTGGGTTGGGAGATCTGCAACCACGGGAGAAAAGGTTCCCCCACCCATCCTCTTTGTATTATTTTTAAGGGGAAATGGATAGGTTTGGGATTGGCTGAGGCTGCTGTCACTACACACACTGATTTCTTTTTTTCTAGTTTTGAAGATTGTAGGAAAGAGCGAGCAAAGGAACAGCATTGCATAGATATACAGAATGACACATGGTAAGACAGTCTGTCTAAAAGGAGATGAAGAGCATTTTTATTTTTTAGAACTGGAAAACCTGCAAAAAAAAGAGGAACTATTTCTGTGTAGGGCCGTATCCCTGTTGCTTAGGTCTCCTTGTAGCCACTCACTATATTCCTGCAGGCATCCCATGCAGAGCAGAGACCTTTCTGCACTGCTAGGCAAGGGGAAACCAGGGGAAGGAAAGAGGAAACTTAGGATAAGGCAAGGAGAAACCAGGAGAAGAGAAGGTGCAACCTAGGGGAAGGAAAGAAGTCAAGGGGAAACCTCAAGGAAGGCCTTGGGATAAAATGTGAAGGCAAGATGAAAGCAAGGGCCAAAGTAGGGGAAGGCAAGGCAAAAAGCAAGAGGCAACCTAATGGAAGACCAGGGGAAACCTGGGGGGCAGATGGGTGCAACCTAGGAGAAGGCAAAGGGAAACCTATGGAAAGGCAATGGGAAACCTAGGGGAAAGCAATCTAACCCATGGGGTCAGGATGGAGCCCAGTGGGCTGTGTGCATTGGTGTGCTGGTTTATTCCTTCAGATTTGTGCTTGGTGTGGCTGAATGGAAGAGGGGAATGCATCTTCTAGCTTAATCCAGCTGTTCTCTGCTGTAGCATATGGCACTGGACAATGAATGGAATGAGTTTTAGGGTGCAGAGTTGGAAAGAGAAGGTTGGGAGACTTGAGCTCATATGCTTGCTTTGCTGCTGACTGTCCATCCTTGGGCAAGTCATGAGATAATAGAAAAACAGAGCTGGGAGGGACCTCAGGGGATGTTCTGTCCGTGCCCCTACCCAGAAACCCAAAATCAGCACTGTCTGTCTTATGCCTTGTGTTAAATCTTCTGTACACCCATTTTATTTTGCCTTCATGCCCACATCAGTAAAGCACAGTTAGCAGCTAGCTGAGATTTCTGCAAGCTCTCCTGTACAAACATGGGCATGATAACAAAGGGGAGCTTTCCTCAAGCCACTGCCTTTAAATAGGCACATTCAGCCTAAATGCAGCCCCAGTGTAAGCACACATCTCAGTTTCTCTTTTGCAAAAAAAGGATTCCACCTGCTTTTTAGTTCTGAAGAATTGAGATAAACACAAAACTGTTTGAAAGCCACCGGTAATATTTGCAAAGTGAAATATTTCTGTCCTGGTTTATAACGGAGGTAATGGATTTCTATTATCCACCCTGAGCAGCATTCAATAGGAAAGCAAATGCTATGAGCAAAGGAAAACACACCACGGCAAGGAAGTTCCTCCTGCTAGGAAGATACTGAGGAACACTTCCTGAACTTTGCTTGTCTTGCAGGAATTGCTGACAGGCCCCATCTGCTGGGGGTGCAGGGGGGAGTGATGCGCTGTCAGGAGGCCGTGGCCCCATTCACACCCAGCGTGCAGCTCGGGGCACGCCAGTGCCATTCCCACCCCTCCATCAGCACGTGGAGGCTGGTGTCAGTGCCTGCATATAGCAAAATGCAAGAAAATAATTAGATGTTGCTGTAACAGATATAAAAGGTTGCAGAAACGTTACGTGTGGCAGTCCCAAATGTGGGTTTTCCAGCATAAAAGCACAGGCTGAGTGAGCTGGGCGTTCCTCAGCTATTAGCTGCACCGGTGGGATGCTCTCAGTGCAGCAGGCACAGCGTACGTGCCGTGCCACCTCCTGTCTGCACCTGCCCACCTTCCTTCCAGCTTTTCACCCAGGCGGATTTCTTTCAGCAGAAGTTTCAGGCACTGCCTTCTTTCTTATTCCCAAGCTCAGCTCCGGGGTTGGTTTTATCTGCATGATGATATCCCAGGTGGGATTCAGAAACCCGTGATTCTGTTCCTCTGCGAGGAACTTTGTGCAGACATTTTACTGGAAAGTGCTTAAAATGCTCAAACTTTCCAGGCATAAAAAGGACGGGGAGGGAGAAATCGTTCGAGTTAAAGGGTCACACATGAAGCACTCTTCGACTTCCAATCCCAGGCGCTGGGTTTCTGGGCACGCAGAACTAATGCATCTTTTATCGGCTGGCACGGGGGAGGTTATCGCAAAGCTATCAATAGCAGCTTTCTGAAGTGGCTTTCAATTGGCTCTGTTACCGAAGAGATGTGCATACAGCAACAGCCATTAAAATGCACCTTGTATTTACAATATACAGAGCATCTTCGCTGCTAACACATCGCCAATCAGGCTGCCAGCAAGAGGAGAAGAAAGTCTGAGCTGCGGTGCGATCACAAGGCTGTGTTTCACTCTGTACGAGTCCCATCAGCATCAATAACTCAGCTTACCCCGGTGGGAAGGTGAGCTGGTGCTCATAACCACAGCACTGGTGCACTCAGTGTTCTTCCTGCCACGTGCTGACATCTTGCAGCCACCACCTCCACACAGCTCACCCTGCTGCCCCTCTCCAGGCATCCCTGTGGGCAGAGGGAGGAAGGGACAGCCTGAGAGAGAGCCTCACAGAGGCAACTGGAAGGCAACCAACTACTGGAGCCAAGGGAGGTGAGGCTTTTGCTGGAAGAGACGACAGCAGGAATGCTGCACACTGTTGTTCCCCTCCCTACCAACCAGCCAGTCCATCACTGCCTGCCCTCAGACACCCGTGAGCAATAGCAGCCTCCAGCATCGCTCCCCTCCTTCCCAAGATGAAAGAAACTTTAAATGCACGTAACTCTTGCACTCTACTTAATTAATCAGGTTTTGGATTTTTTTTTTTTTTTTTTTGCATTACAAGTGAAACTTCTTTGATGCATGAAATATTAAGGAGCAGCCAAGGGAGGGGAAGGAGAAGGCTGTGGGAGGAGGGGCCAGGAGTGGCTGCTGCTGCCTGGAGATGGATGGGCAGAGGGACAGAGGCTGCACTGCCAGCGATGAGTCTTTGCACAATGCTCTGTCCAGGCAGATAGACAGTGAGAAAAGGGTTCTCCCTGCTCTTCTTGCCTCTCAAACAACAGTTTTTAATTCCACGTTCCAGCCCTGTGTGCTCATCCAGGTTGGCTCACACAGGCGCTGGAAGGGGACAGCGCCTCATTAAACTTTCATGAAAAATAATCTCTGGTTGATTCATTGTTTTTTATCTCGTGATGGCTGTGAGAGAGCAAAGTGAAATGTTTCTTTGGGAAAAAATAAAAATAAAAAGACAGCTCCGTTCCGGAAGAGCCAGCATGGCTTTTAGTCAGATGAGGCTCTCCCCAAGGATGCGTGAGTAGTTATCTGTGTTACTGGTTGGCAAGTGCCATTCCCACACTGAGCTGTGGAGGAGAGAAAGCAGAAATCTGCACACGTCAGTGTGGATATCTCTGCAGCCCTTGACAGGGCACAGTGAGAACTC